TATATATAGAAAGACAGTGGAATTCCTGGCGTGAAATTTATTTTTTTTTTATCAACTATGTTTAATTTTGCAACTTAAATTCATACCTTTTTAATGTATAGTATTTTGTTTTTACAAATAAAATGCAAATCAGCTGAACAGAAATCGGGCGAAGTTACCCATGCATGAATACGGCGTCAGCGGGTAAATCAGTTCGACCAATGAAAATGACGCAATGCTATTTGTTACCAGAAAAGAATCATGACCACTGTCCGTATAGAAAAAATTATTAGGATAAGTATTATGTATAAGAATACTCCGTAGAAACTAGTTCTATAACAGTGAAAAATCATCTGCTCTGTTTACATGCGGTTTAGATGCCTGCGCATATATATACATTTGTAGCATACCTTGACAAATCGGTAAATCAGTCTCTAGGCACTTGGTGCACTTAATTTCTTCAAATTAGGTACATTTTGAAAATTACTTTTTTTTGTCAGCATTTTTTCACAATCTTTTATGTTTAACAACAGAATAATTTAAAATAGTATATATACATATATATATTTAAATTAGAGATGACGCGAATAATTCGTTTATATTTGCACTTCGATCGAAAATACCCCGTGTGCGGTCGAAGTTACCCAACACACTTATCTTTTTTTTTTTTGTTTTTTTGTTTTTTCTTTTAAAAAGTGAAATACCATAGTGTACATAACTAATCAATACCACTATTTTTGTGCCTGGTTTTACTCTTAAAATTCACGAAAACCCAGGAGCTTCCGGGGGCTTCGCCCCCTGGGCCCCCACCAGGGCTTCGCCCTGGACCCACTGCCTGAACAAAGTTATCCACGCCCCCCCCCCCCCCTAATCACAAATCCTGTATCCGCCCATGCCTACGGCCATGTTTATCGAGCAGACTTCTACATTTATCTGTGGATGGCCGTCATTATACTCGGACAAGATAATACAAAGATACATATTCATATTATTTGTTATAAATTCAATTTTCAAAACTTGATATTCAAGTAATATGCTGTTATAGTTTTTATTAAACAGACAAATGAGAGAGAGAGAGAAAAAATATTCCGTTTTAGCCCCCCCCCCCCCCCATTTCAGGCTTCACTAAATGTTTGTACCTATATCAAACAAAAACTCTGAAATTTTTTTCTAAATATATCAGACAGTGAAAGTAACTTTTTTTTTTAATCAACAAATCATATCCATTTGTTTGACAGTCATACTCGTTTTTATTTTTCTGCATCAAGTTCACACGAAGTCCACGTGCTTGTCCTTGTCAATCAAAATCATTCGACACTGTGCAGGTGTGAAAGTTTCGTCACATCGAAGAGGAAGTGCGAGTATTTCCAACAAGTTATAACATTTATTTTTATCATTTCTAGATTTGATTCCAACATTTGAATAATAATTGAATAAAATACATTGGACATTAACACTTGAATTTGAAACATACTCTCTGCCAATTCCAAATACCACCGCCGACACGTGTACACTCTGAACTACTATTGTTTTGTGACTTTTTTTAGATGCATGTTTGTTTTGAGACTGAAATTTTTGTTCTAAAAAAGACCTTAATTTTTTTTGAAATGTTTATTAAAATATTCTGGAAATACAATACTGACCAAGTAACCGATTTAGGGGGAAAAGGGGGGGGTATTAATCATATCGAATGGCAAACATATAAAGTTACGGTGAAGAAAGATTTTTTTCTCTATAACTATAGACTTTACATATTATAGTAGAGAAAATTCTGTAGTGCATTACATTTTAAATAAATATTTCCTTTAACCACACTATATATTTAATTCGCTCCAAAGATAATAAATTAACATGATATCCGCAGTACTATGTATAACTCTCAGAACTAGTTCTATCATATTTTCTGTAGTAATTGAAAAAAAAAGTGTTAGAAATAAATATTTTCGTAATTTTGCTGCGTAATTATTTGACTTGGATAATTATATATCCATTAACGATTTGTCGTCTTTTACAAAACAACAAAATGTTGGAGTGTTTGAAGTATTTGCACATTGCCCTTAGTTAAATTTAATATTTCAGCATCGTTCTACATAGGTACAGAATGTGCTTATAACAACATTTATTTTCCAGAGTAATTTAATAAATAACCTAACAGCTACATGTGTAAGTTAGAATAATAAAAATATATATCGTAGATATTTTTCCCCATGAAATAATGATCCTTCAAACACGATATGTTAGTTATTAAATTAAAAACCTGTAACTCCTAACCTACAAAAAGATAAGTCCTTTCACTTCGGAGTTCCGAATGACAATGAAAACTGTGCAAAGTGAACGGAACGAAGAGCGAACGCTGAACACTTTGTGAACGGTGAACGCGAGCACACGGTGAACGCAAGACTGTGAACGGAGAGCGAACGGTGAACACAAGACTGTGAACGGAGAGCGAACGGTGAACGCACGCTGAACGAACGGTGAGCGAACGGAAAAATGGGAAAGTAGAACGTTTCAGGGACTGTAACCTTAGAATTTGGCATGACCTTGACTCAAGGTCACTTTGCCCTGTCGGCAGCTCCAACGGAAGACCTACTCATTGCTTTGCAACAAACTCTGCTCTATATTTAAAGATCGAATCTATTTGGGCACATAACAATAAGTTGACAATCGCCCTATCTCTCTCTCTCTCTCTCTCCCTTTCTCAGGTCGAGGAATCTACCATATATGGATATTGTTGTCATTGCGCAAAGAGGTGCTTACAGCGAGCAATCATCCAACCCAATGAATGAGCCGAAAAGCATGATGGTCTACATGTTTATATTTTACTACAAACACGTGGGTCAGTCAATTAGGATGCGATTTCAAATGACTGCGGGAAAGTCGACTAATTATTATTTTTAATGTTTTTGTGAAAAACATGAAGAATAGGTACTAATTAAGATTTTCCACGCTCACATTAACAAACAAAGTCTTCACAAGTAAATAAGAATTAACCCAGTTTCTTTTAACTTGATATTCATAAATTTGCTATGCTACTAGTGTTATTAGTTGTAACTTTGTTATTTGTTTACTAGAAATTAAAAGTTAATGCAGTTATAAAAAACATAAGTCTATTGCTGTACGGTATTTTAATTCTCATGTACACTGATCATAGAAAGTGAATTGAGTAGCATATATATCGAAGTTGTATACATAGTAAACAATGACAATACATGAGTATGCCTCAGAGTCAATTTGTTTTGGACCAGGGAATAGTCAAGTAAATTTCATATTGACTGATAGTACAGCACGGGAAAAACTGCCGGGCTGTTGTCAACAAATGGACTTCTACAATGGATTGGAGAAAACCCAAACTTTACCGTTGTAAAACATTTGTATGTAAATGTGAGCTTGGATCTAGTAGATAAGGATGTACATATTATATTAAGTGTGTAAAATGCTTGCAAAAATGCAACATGTCTTTCCGAGAGCAATTTCAAAAACTGGCCTTTTTGAAACGTACATGTAGTATTTTTTGTAGTAACCCATAATGCAACTCATTTTAATTAGCTGATTGGTTGGTTTGCCAGTCATGTTGGGTGCCTCATTTAGCATGTAATTTTATTCTGACGTCACAGAAAATAGTTTCCTCGACCTGTTTATATTTTCAAGAAAAACTTTTACCCCTATAGTAGCCTTTACCTTGACCTAGAGACCTAACCTGTATCTACACTCATTAACAAAGATAAAAAGAAAAGTTTAAGACCAGAAAAGCTTATTTGAGGCTTTGGCTCATCAGGTGAACTACATATAAATGTCAGTTCCTGATTTCCCTTATAAATCGTTTTTAGTAGCCATTAGGGCTGTATCAATATATCAATATATCGATACTTACCAATATTCAGGAATGTATTGTATTGAGAAAATAACTTCCATTAGTATCGGGCAGTTTTTCATATAATTCTGTGACAAAGTTGGGAGTTTCAGCCACCAAAGATTATATTTAACTGTTTTGAATTAAAATTGATCAATAATGATATAATCATGAAGGAGGTAGCACATTATAGATAATTATTACAAAATACATAGACAACTTTATTTTACATGTTGATTTTACAGTCATTAAAAGTTTGAATTTGAAGAGTAAGGACAAGATAGGCTAAAACCCCCTTTTGGCCCCTGGTTTGGGGGGGTCTTTTATAATGATGCCACAGTTTATCAATAAAAACCCATTGTCACCCCTGTCTTTAAATGAGTATTGGTTCTAAATTATGGGATACACAGAGGTCACAGGAAGGTCAGAAAATATGTCAATTTCTGAATTTTCTCATTTTTACGCGAATTTCCTTCGATTTTACACCACATTCTGTTTCAGAAAACATAGAGCACAAGCTTGCCTATCTACCCAGATTTGTATATTTCATACACTAGTATCAGATGCATCTTGTGCATAAAAATCTCAGATAGGCAAGCTTGTGCTCTATGTTTCCTGAAGTGAAAAGTATCTCAAATTTGACAAATTTCCAACAGAATTGTGGAAATTCAGAAAAATGTCCTACTTCTGCACCCTCTTGTGGCCTCTGTGTAAGTTTTGAATCAAAATTAGTGCTTGTTTTAAAACAAGCATTGTTTTGAGTTATTAACTATGAACTATCACAATTTTAACTGCATTCTGATTTTTACATCAAATAAGGGGCCTATTTGGCCGTTACCATACCTTGTCTTTTGTAATGAAAGTGAGACATGAACTTTAAAATGAGTTGCAAAACAATTAGTTTTTATAAAATCAAGCATTGAATGATTTATAAGACTTTTATGATAGACTTGTTAAAGAATCCAATATACCGCATATTGCATAATAAAATATTGTATTGTATTGTATCGAAATTTTTTGGTCAATACACAGCCTTAGTAGCTATAGCATAATTTTTATCAAAAAGAATATCAGATACACAGAATTATGTATTTTGGTGTAGTCTAAAGGTAATCCAAATGTCACTCCCATATACACTTAATATACATATCTCTTGCAGACAGATACTTACAACCACATCATCCTCTGATGATGATGAGACACTAGAATCATCAAAATAATACCACTCTCCATCATCTTTGTTCTCTGCATAAGCAGTATCTGAAAAATAAAAATGTGTTTGTCAAAAACTGATGCTCTTACATAGCTTACTGCCAAGGATAAGATTTGACAAAAGGAGGTCAAATTCAAAGGTCAAGGTCATGAGTACCCAAAGAAAGATCTTGTCACATGAATTATGCAAGTGAAATAAGCCATAGCAGCAACTATTCAAAAGTTAGGGCTTAGGATAAAGTTTTTAAAAGTAGGTCATAATCAAAGGTCAAGGTCATGAGGTCAAATGTTAGTACCCAAAGAAAATCTGTCACAAGGCATACACATCTGAAAAATGAAAGCCCTAGAACCAACCATTTAGAAGTAATGGTCAAGACACAAATGCCTATGCTTACAATTTTGAAATAAGTGAAGTCCAAAAAAGTAAAAACAAGGGGCCAAAGGGCCTAGAATTGCTCTTCTGATAAAATGTACAACATACCACTTCTATTTTAAGCCTTAAAGAATCCTACATATTTACATAAAGCCTTGAAATTCCAAAAGTAGGTCATCATGACCTACATTATAAGTAACACACTCTGAGAACCCTTGATGAATGACAAAGTTTGATGATTCTAAGACCCTTATTATCTTAATTATTCAAATAAAACCATGAAATTCAAAAAGTAGGTCATCATGACCTACTTTTTGTTTAACAAACACCAAGGCCCTGTGATGCATCAACAGACAAAGTTACATGATTCTTAGCCTCTTATTATTTGAAATATTTAGATATTGCATTAAAATTTCAACATGACCTACTGATCTGCCTTTTAGTTGACAAACTCAGAGGAATCAAGATGCATTAACTGACTAAATTATGTGATTCTAAGACAACTAGTATTTGAAATATTCCAATATAGCCTTGAAATTCCCAAAGTAGTTCATTATGACCTACTTTTTGGTTGACACACTCTGAGGACCCAAGTTGCATCAAATGACAAAGTTTGATGATTCCAAGCCAATTACTGAAATATTTAAATATAGCCATAAAATTTTGAAAGTAGGTCACTGTAGCCTACTTTTTGGTTAAAGTACCATAATTTTTGGAAGATAGGAAAATACTTTTTTTCTCAGAACCACTGGGGTTGTCCTATTTAACAAATCAACCTATCTAAGGCTCAAGTTTACAAAAAATTCCCCCAAATCAGTAAAATTTACATCAATTTTAAAGCAAATCTGTGCCATTTTCGTATTTTTTAAAATCATTTTACCAACAAAAAAATAATAAACAATAAAGAATTAAATATTTATTCCACTGACTTCTTACAAAACAAGTTCCATAAATGTCCGTCAATGTACAAAAAAACTTATTATATCATCTAGTTAATAATGTCTCAAAGTATATTTACAACATGCTGTGAAGTTGGAAGTCCCAATCATTTACTAAAAATAAAATCGCAACCGTATCAAAATCTAAAATACGGAAGAGTTTTCACAATTACAATTTTAATCTTTTTTTTATCATTTATTTGTACAGATTAATTGAAATAGTATACCTAAATATTTTTTCATTGTCTTATGATATTTATTTAAATGTAAAATGCTTGAAATGAATTGTTGCCAGTAAATTCCTAAATTTATTTACCAAATATACCGCTAGTAATAACTAATTTTTTTTATATCTTAATTAATTATATTAAAACGAACTTTCTTGACTATACTATTATATGTTTTTGGAAGTTATAAATTCATTTATTCATGATACATTATTTTTTATTCAAAGTTTTCTTTTTGTGGGTGTAACTAATTTTTATCCAATAATTTGCTCTAATTTTTAACCAATAATTTAATCAGAATACTAAATTTGATAAAACAAACCTATTGTCTTTAGAAAACCAATGAGATAGGTTATTAAAAAAACAAAACTGTCAATCAGAAAACGTTTTACAATTAAGTATGTTTTGATAGCAGAACATATGATCCGCCGAAGCATTTAAAAGGGGGGCTATGTGTTTACTGGGTATCAAAGTCACAATGCCTCCAGTACAGTCGCACCGGTCCTACACCACAGGTTCAAGCTTGAAGCAGTCCAGTATGCTGAGGAAAATGGTGGAAACATGGCAGAACAATGACATTATGGAGTCAGCGAAAAGGTCATCAGAACCTAGCAAAAGCAGAAAGATGTCCTCCAGCAGACGAAAAAGACCAGGAAAGCCACACTGCATACTGTCCTGAACTCGAGAACCATCTGGAAGAATTCCTCATGGAGCAGAGAGCCGCTTGTAGCTATAGAGCAGTCAGCACCGTCCAATTAAGACTGAAGGCCATAGACTTGGCGCAGACCATGAAGATCAATGACTTCAAGGGTACAGTGTCCTGGTGCTACCATTTCATGAAACGAAAGTCTTTATGTAAAAGTCAGTGCACCACCCTAGCCCAGAAGCTTCCAGACAACCACGTCCAGAAAATCGCATCATTCCGGCATTTTGCAATGGAGCAGATCCAGAGACACAACTTAAGCAGCAACAACATCATCAATATGGATGAAGTTCCCCTGACATTTGACATCCTGATGAACCGGACCATTGAGAACTAGGGTGCAAAGTCCATCACCATCCAGACCACTGGCCATGAGAAATCATCCTTTACCATAGTCCTCAGCTGTATTGCTACTGGCAAAAAGCTTCCACCCATGGTTGTCTTTCAGTGGAAAACTACTATTAAAGAAAAGATGCCTTCTGGTGTTGTGGTTCACCAGAACGAGAAGGGGTGGATGGACAATGATGTTATGGACCTGTGGCTGATTTCCTGCTACGTTAATATAAACGACCAGGGGGGGGTTTTCCGACAAACGAAGAGCCTGCTTGTCCTCGACTTGATGAGAGCCCACATCAGCACCCTCACCAAGGACAGAATCAAGTCAACAGGGACCATTCCCACAGTTATCCCCTAGACATTTCCATCAACAAATGTTTTAAGACAGAGCTCCGCAAAATCTGGGAGAACTGGATGACGAATGGGGAGAAAAGCTTTATCAACACTGGAATAATGAGGTGCGCATCGTATCCAACCGTGTGTCGGTGGGTGAAGGATGTTTGGGCAGCCGTTCCAGAGAGAGTCATCATCAGTGGGTTTGTCAAGCCTGATATTGTGCATGCCCCTCTTCCTGATGAAGAAGAAGAACTCCTGTTAGCTGAAACAACTGATGACCTGCCATTGACCTTAGCTGCTCTGTTTCACAGTGACAGTGAAGATTCAGACTTTGATGGGTTTTCTTCAGATGAAGAGAGGAATTCTTAGTGCCGATATTGGACTATGCAAATTAAACTTGTGTTGCAAACTTTGTGCTCGTTTACCAGTGCGTGTTTTAATGAGTTATAAATGCGGGTGATAAAAATTTAATTTTATTGATACGGAGTTTTACAAGCAACAAATGAGTAATAAATGCAGGTGACAGAAATATAATTTTAACTGATATTATGAGGTTGACATAGAAATCATTACAAAATGAATAATTTTTTTAATGATAAAATTGAAAGCTTCCTCGTACCCAAGGGGTACACTGAATTATACAAAGATTGGCTTCTAATAAAATTTTAATTGTCTGACAGATGAAGAGATATACACTGTGCACACAAAGGTGTTAACACCAGTGTTGGTTTAACACCTGCAGGGCATGATTAACAGATCCACGTGCCGTTACAGGGGTATACATCATTGAACAAACAAAACTGTGAATTTCATGATGACTGTTAAATTGCGAATGTACTCTCAATTAAATTTATTTTTTACAACAAGGAAGATCAGGATCAACAAAATAATTAGTCTAGTATTCAGCATCAACTCATAAATTAAGTTCTAATCTGTCCCCCACTTAACACTATCACCATGCAGACTATTAACAGACTATTAGTGCTTCTGTACTATTTTTACACCCATAATAAGACCTCTAGCATTGACCTCTCTTATGGTCTTTGAAGAACTTTTAATAAGACAAGTTATTTTTGTCTCATTTTTATTTATCTATTACTTACAGGTCTACCTGATTATTAAAACTAAGAAAGTACTTTTTGAATTATACGATTAACATTCTTGCATAATTATCTTATTCTATTAACCTTTCAAATACATTATTTACAGTGATTAATTATCAAAGGTGAATGGAAAAGGGGAATAACTTCTCTCAGTAGAATACAAATTAATAGAGCCCTGCCCAGGACCAGAATGCTTAGACAAATGGTCCAGATGTTCAAAAATCTGGTAGAAATATGCTTACTTACATCATCTAAACTTTTACTCAGTTTGCTTCTGATATGCCCAGAAGCAGAGAAGAATTTCACAGGTACAATGCATTTTCACTACAGATTCAACAAAGCCTTACCCTAACACCAGAACCCAAGACCAAGGGTCAAGAAATTTACAAATTTGGAAGAGTTACCCTCATCATTATAACTATGGACTTCAAAGAATTAACACTTTTCCACTACCCCCCCCCCCCTCCCTCGTTATGCCAGAACCCCTGACCCTAGGACCACAAGATTTAAAAATTCTGTTTGAAGCTCCCATTTTCATCATAGCTAAGCAATTTATTGATCAGTTCAACACTAAGGAGCAGACAGGATTAATTAATGATTAATTAATAGAATTAATGCTTTTTCACTATATAATCAATAGAGTCCCCCCCCCTCCTCAAAAACCCCAAAAACTGAGGCAATATATTTAAAAATTTTGGAAGAGGCATCCTTGCCTATCATAATCATGCACTTAGTTTGTTTAAATAATCTCCAGTAGCAGAGAAGAAGATTTTCAAAGAATTAATGCATTTTCACTATATAATCAATAGAGCCCCTCCCTAACACCAGAACCTCTGACCCTGGGGCCAAGAAATTCACAATTTTTGAAAAGGCATCCTTATGCATCATAACCATGCACTTAGTTTGTTTAAATAATCTCCAGTAGCAGAGAAGAAGTTTTCCAAGAATCAATGCTTTTTCACTATATAATCAATAGAGCCCTGCCCTAATACCAGAACCCCTGACCCTGGGGCCATGAAATTCACAATTTTT